AAAGCCCCCTTGTACAGGGTACTTTCCCAGGGGAGTGCCCGTCGAATCTTCTTTGTTTACCTTATTTTTCTAATGTATTATTTTGTTACATTGGATTGACATGTTTAATAACACGTCCTTTTCAATATTGATACAAATTAAAATAAGCTTCTTTCTACTTTAGATCGTTAACGTGGTTTTGGGACTACTTAAAAGAGAACCATGGAGTGGAACGCGAACCTATTTGGGACAGAATCAAAGACCTTGTCATAAAAACTATTCTGAGGTAACATATTATTATCATTGTTATTATTATAGATAGAAGGACTACGTGTCATAGGGTCTTCTTATTTATGCGCTTCGGTTGTATTCATCACTTATTTTGATACATACAATTCTTACCTTAGCATTTAGTTAACAAATCTTTGTCGTCTAATATACACTGTACCTGTCACTTTATTTTAGCGGGGAGGATACAATGCAAAGGAGTACCCAACACTTTATTAGGAACCGGTACAGCGTGCATGAATTATTTGCCTTTGATATTCTTCTCGATGGAAACATGAAACCGTGGGTTATGGAAGTTAATGTATCACCTAGGTAAGTGATATACACTTTAGGATATAGTGAGCTAGACTACTTTACTTATTCCATCATTTCATAATTTCAAAGATGATCCAGTGGTAGGGGAAATAACACAACACCCTTTATATCGAATGTACCCGCGCACGTTACTTTCGTTTTAAGTTTATTTAGTAGCTGAGCAAAGTATACAGGTTGTAACTCATAAGACCCTGCAACATTTGAAGTACCTAAGCACGCGATAACATCATTATCATAATAAGAATATATGTAGAAACAACACTTTCAAATGCCTGATGTGTGTTTCATAATATTTTATTCCCTGTCGGGGGGGGGGGGGGGGGGGGTCTTTTCAAATTATGTGTGCATTTTGTATTGACTCTTAGCGTGTGGAAAAATTACCTGTAAAATGTTGTTATTTGGTAACAATTATACTAAATATTGGACTAGAAAAAGTCGCATTTTTTCTAAAACGGGTCCACGACGTTCTCAATATACCATTATGTTTACTTATATCTTTTTAAAAATCAATATCTGTACGCCTACTGCCACAGGGAGTATCTTTGTTTGTATACTTAAATTAAGACAGCAATTACGTACATTCAGGTACGTCCGAACTCAAAGATAATGGTGTCAGCGACCAAAATTATCATATTTTTCTCAAATAATGAGCATCTCAAAACGACCCAGCTAAATTGATAATACTTCACCCTTTCATGAAAATGCGCGGCCAACGTGCTTGATCGATACATATATTTTAGAATTTTGTACTGGGTTGATTCTACGGATTTTTTAATACATATTTTATTATTTTAGGTTCGATAAGAACATAGTTGTTAAGTTGATGGATCCCTTGCTGACGTCTATGTTAAACATAGCTGGTATTCAGATCCCAGCTGTAGACATGTTGCCAAAACTGAAACACAGGTAACGGCCTTCGTTTTATCAAACGGCTTAAGAAAGCTATTTAGGGCTAATTAAACAATCTTGTCGAACTTCCCCAAAAATATAAGTAAATGCACCATTTTAATTAGAACTATTATATAGTACAGGTACTTGTGGTTTTTATTTATTTACTTTGAAAATTAAACGTTTAAAAAACATGCGATGGAATTTCCAAACTGTTCGTTGCAAACCCCATTCCGTTGCCTTACTTGTTTTGAGGCAAACGGTTGGGCCTCAGTTTTAATTGATTGGACTTGCACGATCATTGTACACGTGTTTTAAAGGGATTAGCATTGCACTATAGGCAAAACAGTTGGAGAACGCCATGGTATGTCATTCTTCTAACAAATTTCACTTAACTAATTACCGTCTACATGCAGGTAATTGTTTTGCAACTTCACATTTTTACATAAGCCCAGAGACAGTTCCCAAAGACCTTCTCATGGACCGTAGACTGTGGACACAGCAGCTGACCGAGGAAGAAAAGGAAAAACATCAGACATACACGACCTTCAAAGATGAGGTGAGTTGATTTGCTCGTATATATGCATCGTTTCTTTGCAATAAAACCTTTAAGCAAGTGACGAGGCGTCTTAATCATGGTATTCAATTCATTTTAGACAAAACCGGTACATGCATTTTGCAGTGTGACTGTATAATCCAAGGGCGCGCCACTTCTTGGCGAAAATATTTACGGTCCAAGCTATGGTTGCTTTAACACGGATAATTCTGAATAAGCGAGCTATTGAATCATGTCAGTGGTGCCTATACATATTGTATATTTTTGTATAATTGTGACTTACCTTATTTTTTTGCTTGTTATGGAATTACCAGTAACAGTTATCATCACAATTGCAGATGACCCTACCTACAATACTGGATACACTCACACCCGATGATATCCGAATGTTGATTGAAACAATGGACGAAAACAACCGAAGAGGACAATTCGAAAGGATATTCCCAACACCAGAGACTAAGATATATCACAAATTCTTTGAGCGGCCAAGGTAATGACATGGAATTCCCAACAGTAGTTTTTTTTCATCATGCTTGGTACTTGATATAATGTTAAGTAGCATCTGGATATGGAAGCGGCACGTGGCATGACTGACGTGTAGTGTAGGTACTTCTTCTGATTAACATAATTATGAATCCATTTTTATGTTCCATTTTTAAGAGTTGTCGATACCACAAAGTCTTGATTTATAATTTATTTTTTCTAGATATTACAATATCCTACTCGACCAGTGGATTCAACGCTACGATCAAAACGAAGAGGAGGGAATACAAATTTTAGAGTCGTACTGTCGGGAGGAAAAACATCTTCAGCCTTAACGATCCAAGTGACAATAGTATTGCCATTAGCTCTATCCCACAATCAATGTATATACATTTAGGATTAAATCACTTTTACAGCTTTATCATGGTAACAGCATCTAAATGTTTCAATGCGAAATAGAAATAACAATGCTGGTTTGTGCTCGCCTGTGCATTTATGCCATTCAAATCGATTTGGTTACTGATAGTATTGTAAATGGGATTTATCTTATACAAGGGGATAAATGTAATAATAATAATAATAACAATAATAATAATAACTAAAAAAGAACTCCGAGAGCGCAGACCTCCGCCAAGGCAGCGATTTTTATTGTTATTGATTATTGATTGATTATTGATCCGGACCACCACCAAAAACTAATCATCTCTTCCTTGGCCCACTTCTGACAGTTCCTGAAAATTTCATCAAAATCGGTCCATAATTTTTTTAGTTATGTTGATGATTGATTTTTGATTATTGATTGATTATTGATCTGTATCATCACCAAAAACGTAACTCTTCTAAGTTTACCCATTTCTGACCTACCCTGAAAATTTCATCAAAATCGGTCCAATACTTTTTGAGTTATGTTGATGATTGTTTTTTGATTATTGATTATTGATTGATTATTGATCCGGATCACCACCAAATGCTAAACACTTCTTAGTGAACCCATTTCCGACCTACCCTGAAAATTTCATCAAAACTGGTCCATAACATTTTTTGTTATGTTGATGACAAACAAGCAAACAAACAGACAGACAAACAAACAGGGGTGAAAACATAACCTCCTTGGCGGAGTAATAATTAGACAGCTAAATATATAAATTTTAACTGAGCCAAGGTGATTCGAGAAGGACGCAAGGGCATACAAAGCCGTTTAATACACCTTGAAGGAAGTAGATTGACAAGATACATGTATAATGAAGTTAGCATTAGAAAACTTAATTAGGTCATTTGACGTGGACTATTTTAATGATCTAGATGGTTTTACTATTGAGAGGAAGACTAAAATGTGTGCAGTAAAGAAATAAAGAGCACTGACAAAAGTTGACACAAATCCCCCCAATATTCGAACTCGAACACACACAGAGAGAGAGAGAGAGAGAGAGAGGGAGGTACGTACTGTATACTTGCCTCTGGCCCTAATAAAGAGTATTGGATGTAAAAGAGGAGCTGTAGAAATAAGCATTAACATACAATCGACAAGCAATAGAATGCAATTACAATGCATTGGATCTGGCGACGTCTTTTTCCAGATGCTATTGATCAATATCATTTGATATCATAGAATGTATACAGGATGACTGCAAAGGTAGTCATCTTATCTGTGGTATAATATTATACACAGTTCCTGCAACCGGGTCCACGTGCAAACCAGCCGAAAATCGCTTTCACCTTTTTTTCTATACAACTGTGCGACTCGTACATGTAAATCATGAAACATGTACCGCAATTGTTATTATAGGCTATCAGACTGGGTGATGTCTACAGATACCGATAGCATTTCCCGTGTGCCGTTTATATGCAGTAGTATGATTTACAGGTGCTATAAAGTGACTGTTAATAGAATAATTAACGCTGTTTATCTGTCTTCCAAACCAATTAAAAGATAGCCAGTGAAATAGCCGCCGTCAATTTACTTAGGGGTCTGGGTAATAGGTCAGATAACGTCGTTAATTGACTCAAGTGAGCAATCTGTCCTCAACCCAACACCGGTTGTCCAGCCGAGTGCACATACTTATATAAAAAGGTGAAAGATTTATCAGATACGTTTTGTTTCCACAATTGCCTTGTTATCTTTTGCTGATTACACGTTTGGTCCCTGACGCCCCTGTAAACGTTATATTAGTATGCGTGTATATCTGAACGACTATATTTTTTTTCTGGTACTATTCAACCACTCGCACACTTTAGGCTGAAAACATGGAGTCAGCCTTGGTGAAGATGACCAGAAGTATCATGGATTGTTGCATTTGTGTTACTGTTATACTACTTTTAGCCAACAGCGCAAATGTTTCAGGTACGTTATAGGAAAATAAGTTAGTTGATGACCATTGTATCGATATTGCTGACGAGAATATTTCAAATCCCAGTCCAGATATTCAACATTAAATAGAGAATATGGTTATCCATATTCCCATCTTTCCGGTTTGTGATTTTTCGAAAAAAAATTAGTAAATTAAAAATATTATCTCTGTCAATGTAATCTGTCAAAATCTATTTTTAATATCATGAAAATAGGCTTTACTACACATAGTACAATGACAACAGAATCATGTTTGGACATTTTACTCAAAAGGTGAGAGTCCGACTACACATAGCGCACCATTAAACGAATGCCCGGTCAAGTTACACATAGATGGAGAGCAGGGGCCATCGGCCCGGATATCCGACTGTTCTTCAGGCAAGCCAGTGTCACTTTTTACTGAAGGAATTGCAGAGGAAATTGAAGTCAAGGACAACGTTTTACCCGCCTTAACACCAAGTTTATTTTCAAACGTGCCGCCAACAATTAACTTTGTTAGGCCCGATCAAAAAGGTAAAGGGTATTTTTGTAAGATAAGCCAACAATTTTGCCCTATCCTTTGCTTTTCGTAATTCATAGGTACATTACCGGTAGTTATAATATTTTTGTGAGGGGAATTGTAGTCTGTAAGAGGGCCAGATTTTCTTATGACTTACATCTGTGAATATTAGTGCACCAAAATGTTGTGAGTTTGATCCGCATTTCAGTACAGTATCGATCTAGGTACATAATTATATATATATACATAATTGTGCGTATGTGTACTGGTACAGTGTATCTTGCATGTACACACGTCACACTAAATTAACATAATTATCTTATGCCATGTTTCAGTGGAGGAACTTCCCCAAACAATACGAGACCGTTTAAAGTATTATGCTAGCCCATCTTCACCTATTGCCTATTACGTTTCTTTTTCTGGGTTTACCCAAACTCAAGGTACGATTCCAAAATAACACGCAGTTACATTTTTTTACCGGTGCAGTTAATATGAACAATATACCATGCTTCCACAGGATGTTTCAGAGTGCTGTAAATGCATGCACAATTATAACACTGTCCGCTACATGTGTAATTATAGTGCTATAAAATGTAGAAAAATTCAAACGGTACATGTAATCCAACGGTATATTTTACATGGACAGAAAACTCTGTTACGTATTTAAACTGTGTGCATTGTATGCCAAAACAGTCTGTATAATTGATCAATATATTTCTCGTTTTCTTAGGCATTCATGTATAAACCAATCGACTGGTTTGTCTCACGTATTAATTCATTTGTTATCATTATTACGTCTACAGAAGTATGTTATTTTATTTGCTTATATTTTTTATATTTGTTTTTATTTATATGCGGTATTTGCTTGTAATTCAATCTTTTGGTTTTACATGTACATAAAGATGTGTGGGAATACACAGTATTTTACGGTCTGCCCTATCAAATCAACATGGCGAGGGACTATCTGTCCGTCCTACCGCACCAAAAGGTGGGGAAAATCTATTCCATATTTTTGCAAATAACTAAATAGCTTCCAAAGTTCAGCTTTCTTCCTACAACTTAAATGTGTAGATTATATTTATAAATGCGGAGTGTAGACAACTGTGACAGAGGGATATCATAACATCAAACTTTAAGTTGACTCAGATTGTGACATTACCTACGGCAGCGTTATTTTATTATTGAATGTTAATTAAGTAAGATATGCCCTTTCAATACTGAGATGACTATATTTCAAAGATGAATGTCAATTCAAAAGCACGCGCCTCAAGGCCATATGCATTGAGTAGAATTGGATGTACAATGAATGGTCATATATCACTTTCTTCTTCAGTTCAACCACATCCCAGACAGTTGGGCCTTGGGTTGCAAAGATCAACTAGGGCGTAATCTTCAAAGGTTCAAAGCAAAATACGGCGAAGAAGACTATGGGATCTTCCCAGAGACGTTTGTTTTACCAGAAGACAAGGTTGCTCTGAAGAGAGCATGGAATAGCAGCAACAAACACCGGACCTGGCTCTTGAAACCGGTTGGTATACATAAAGAAATATATATATTGTCTTATATTTAATAAGAATATTTAAAATGAATTATTTATTTTACTTCGCCTTAATAAAGTGATAGAGTACAAACCAAAGGGGAATAAAAATGTAACTGTTTAGTTTATATGAGGGACTGGTTGTCCACGGACGGGGTAGAATTCACGTTTACACCCCCCCCCCTCCCCAGAGGCGGACATACTGGTGTGACAGGAATGTCAGTCCTAAAATTGAAAGTCCGGGGTATCATATGATTAGCCAGGATAGGGTGGGTCGCAGTATAAGGGACGAATGTCAACCGTACAAAGCAATGGGGAACGGACATCAGTTCCTAGACATTCTTGTCGTACCGCTATCCGAACACAAAGTCATCCGATCAAAGAGGTAATATACTTTTGTTAAAACAACTTTAAAATATGAATCGTGAACAAAAACAAATATCAGCTCACAAGTATGAATTAGGACAAGCTATAGCGTAAATTATGTACAGCCCAAGTTTGTGTCTACAGTGCCTTATAAAGATCTTCTTCCTAAATTGTTTCATCTGGTTCGAAATTATGGTGGTAGGCGGGGTAAGTTGACCGAAAAATAGCTGATGCTTTGATAGGATGGCAATGAGTGCGTCCGTCTAGAAAAAAATTTGGTTTGTAAGCGGGCGTTCCGTGGTTTATCCACATACTCCAGTATTGGTTTATTAAATGTTTTAGCAGCGAAGAAGACACTTTACTTGGGAGAAGGTGATTTCATGTAAAACCGATTATTTCATATCTTCATACAGCCGTGCGCGTTTGGGGGAAGAGGGATTGAAGTAGTCCAAGACTGGAAGAAGGTTCCCAAAAAGGAACACACCGTTGTTCAAAGGTAAGAGGGTTATTTCAAACTACTTTAAATTAAACAGGACATAAAAATGTATGCAGTGGTTGATGTTTTTTATTTTTTTAATTTTTTTTTTATTTTTTGAAACTGAATACACGGTACTTCTTAGTGCTTGTGATTTGATGTTTGCAGCTTCTTGTTTTTCGATATATTAGGATGAAGTGTGTTCTTTTGCTCTCGTGCCGTTGTTTGTAAATATTATTTATACGTACATTATATGACCTGCGATTGTGTGCATGTATTAAGACTAAATTATAATGTATGATTAATATGAAATATATAGAAAGGATAGGCATCGAGAGTATATTTGTAACTTTAAAGTGTCTTTAATTTTATCGGTATTTCCTACAGGTATATATCCAATCCACTGTTGGTTAACGGATCCAAGATTGATTTAAGGGTATATGTCCATGTCACCAGTATTAACCCTCTTCGGATATATGTCAACCCCGAGGGTCTTGTGAGGATATCAGTTGAAAAGTAAGTGCATAAATTTTATCCCTTTCTTTTATTCCATATTAGCTACGTCCCCTCACCTCAAAATAACACAAAATAAAAAAAAAAGCGTGGTAAGCGGGTTTGTTTATTGAATTTGCAAATTCACATTTGCTTTGAATGCGTGCACATGTAGATTGTTTTTATATACTAGGATTTGGTTTGGGGTTATGCCCATCAAAACTGGTGCCATCTTTCACTGTCAGACCAAGTACTTAACCCTAGCTGAGTGCCAAGCTGGGAGACAGCAGATGCAGATAAATGGTTGACATGTCTAAGGATGGGTTAAAACCCACGTCCACCCTGTCCATGGGTGGACACTGAGTTTTTAATTAATTATTTATCATTCTATTTCTTGTACAGGTACACTATGAAAGATATCAATAACAGGGCAATACATCTGACAAACAAAGACATCAACGATAAAAACTCGCTATACTACGTGGATGAACAATTGACAGAAGGAAATCGACGGTAAATATGCTTAGAACAACAATTAGATTAAATTAAAGGGCACGGTTGAAGCTCATAATATGTGCAAGCAAGTTTCTACTTTAGAGCAGGAATATTCTCACATGCGATGCAATCATTTCCAGGGAAGTTAGATTATGGAATATTGTGTAAATACGCAGGCATTTCTTTAGAAGTGTGTACTTCTGAGAAAAGTCTCTCTGATAAATAAAACTCAAATGTACCTTTAATATTTTATCCAAACGTTGCGCATTTAGTTCAAACACTCTTGCTGGGAATGAAAGATAGAGGGGAAGCATATTCCCTCCGGTTTTTTTTCGAAAGTTTATTTTTTTATATTATTACCAAATTTATCAGTGACTACTTTTAACCAATACCATGTTACAGGAGTAGAATAAATTTCGCCAACGAAATGTCCAATAGCTGTTTAAAGAATAGTACCTGATTATGATGTGACATACAAAAGCTATTTGATCGCGTCGGCCTACCTGACGCTGGTGCGTGCACCTGAAGGACAAATCCAGATATATGGATGGGCACAATGCCCCCTGCGTACAGTGTATCCCAGGGAGTTCTGATCGGATTGTAGGGATTGTACCCGATTTATCTTTTTATTGTTTAGTTCGATCATCATACCCTTGACACCGGTAAGCTAGATGGTGTTGATGGGTACCCACTGAGTATTCCTTCTCTTCCCAACATTTAAATAATAATAATAATAATAATAATAATAATAATATTAAAAAAAATATCAGCGCACCCTCAGGGACCCCATTTTCTAGATGTTAATTATATTATATAATTATTGCAAATGATCTTCAATATAACAGCATTAAAAGTATCAATGAAATAGTGCTGCATAAAAAAAAAAAAACTCTAAGAGCGCCCCATCACCCAAGCCCACCCACCCACACACACACACACACACACACAGAAGGGCCCATGTGCATCCACATTCCGCACTGATACACGGAAGCAAAGGGCGGGCAGGTTGACGTGATCCCCGGGAATTAAAATTGAGATTCTTCTTCAGATCGTTAACATGGCTGTGGGACCACTTAAAAGAGAACTATGGGGTGGAACGCCAGCCCATTTGGGACAGAATCAAAGACCTTGTCATCAAAACCGTTCTAAGGTATTGACACCCAGATGTTTTTCATTGCATTTAAGAAATGTTTTACTTAACATAGGTGGACATAATGACTTTAACTTTCCTTTTAGCTGTGAAAGCTTTTTGTTTACATCACGTATGTTTTTGATACATGATATTCTTCATTATCAATATAGGTTAACGTGTTGTTGTAATCTTATTCATGTACGTACACGTCATTTTATTTTAGTGGGGAGGATACAATGCAAAGGAGTACCCAACACTTTATTAGGAACCGGTACAGCGTGCATGAATTATTTGCCTTTGATATTCTTCTCGATGGAAACATGAAACCGTGGGTTATGGAAGTTAATGTATCACCTAGGTAAGTGGTATACACTATACTGAGTTACATTTCCAATGCTTTTCCATCTTTTCAACCAAATTATACGTTCCTCATAAGTATACGTTCTAGAAATATTTTCCGGGAGGTGATTATAAGGGTTGTGTCTGAATGTATTTTTCTTCTTTTAGGTTCACGACAAATGTCTTCACTAAGTTGATAGATCCCTTGCTGACGTCTATGTTAAACCTAGCTGGTATTCAGATTCCAGCTGTAGACATGCTGCCAAATCTGAAACACAGGTAAACTATTTCATTTTTTTCCAGCGACTGAAGAGAAATCTTCAAAATTATGAAACTGAATAGCCGTGCTGAACGTCCTAAAATACATAAACCAATGGATATTTGAGCTTTTGATAAAATTCAGTTATCATTAAAGATCTGAATCCAATGTAACAGAGTCTTAAACCGCTAAAAACCCCTTTTCCATTAGCTACATGTATTTATCAAAATAAGCAAATATGCGCTCAAGCCTGGCATCGAAGTGGGTTGAACTCCCGAGAACAAGGTATGTTGAGTTGATTGACATTTCTGGTATGTCGTCTCAAATTACACTTAAATGAAATGAGCACCGAGTAACTACATGTCTTTTGAATTGACTTTTTTCATCGGAAATGAATTGTGGCACAGAGGCTGAGCCTATACTTACTCGGTATGTCCCGGTTTTAAGAACCTTCCGATGAACACTGAAATTGGATCATACATATAAATATACGAACAGCATTACGCCGACAACCGTATAAATGCTTTGCGCACCCACTTGTTCCTTTTTAGCCCAGAGACAGTTCCCAAGAACCTGCTCATGGACCGTAGACTGTGGACACAGCAGCTAACCGAGGAAGAAAAGGAAAAACATCAGACGTACACGACCATCACAGATCAGGTGGGGTAATCTAAGGGCCTATGTTTATGTGTCGAGAGCGGAAGGTAGTCGTGTACATTGAAAACACAATCTGGCATCAAAGTCAGTGGATTTTATAAAATTTAGACAACATTTTAGAATAATGTGACTATCATTTCCTAGGGCGTAGCAGATCTTTTCAGAAATATTAACGGTCCACGTTTCGGTTGTTTTGACATGCATGTAGATCATTTCAAATTTGCAAAAAATAAATAAATAAATAAATAAATAAAAAATAACACACCAATCACCACGCCGGTGACACTCACAACGTGTAACATTTGCATAAGTCTACAAAAATTACCTCACTTTTTGATATTAGATGGCGTGACTCACAGAACCAAGTTAAATGGAATACCCCACAATACTTTTAACTGATAAATATTATCACAATTGCAGACGACACTATCTACAATACTGGATACACTCACACCCGATGATATGCGAATGTTGATTGAAACGGTGGACGAAAACAACCGAAGAGGACAATTCGAAAGGATGGAATATGGAATATGGAAGGATGGGAATCAACACCAGAGACTAAGATATATCACAGATTCTTTGAGCGGCCAAGGTAATGACATAGGATTTCCATCAGTATTTTTGTTTTTGCATCTTTGCTTGCACATACTATAATGTGTAATAGCATTTGGTTTATGGAAGCGGTGCTTGATATGATTAACGTGTAGGATAATCAACTCTTCTAATTAATGTAATAAGTCAAAATTCCACTTTTAGAAAGGTATTGATATCACAATCTTAATTAGTTCATTTCTTTTTTCTAGATATTACAATATTCTCCTTGACCAATGGATTCAACGTTATCATCAAAACGAAGAGGAGGGGATACAAATTCTGAAATCGCACTGCCGGGAGGAAAAACATCTTCAGCCTTAACGTGCTAAACCAAACATTTTAGTGACATGCTATTGTAATTATTTTATCATGTATATATTATCTTAAATTTAATGCCAAATTCACTCACTCGCTGCTGGAGTAGGGGTCCATGTTATAGAAAGTCTACCCTCCATTTTGTTATAACGGTTATATTTAGCCTGAGCTAAGTGGGTCAAAATCTAGGGCGAGGCTTACCTGTACAAATGAATGAGAAACGGACTTTCTGCCATGGGGGAGCTCTCTTTCACGTTACAACGGGGTGGCACATAAGGCATCCACATAATCATATAAATATTTAGCCGTGGATTGGAAGTATGTTACTTAGTAAAAGGTCTTGGGTTGAGACCGCAACGTCGGTCAGTTGTTAATGTGAGTTCCAGTATCAGGGTTATATACATTTTTCATTCTAATTCTTCTGGCTGACTAAAACACTCATTCACGCGTACGAAAACGCTCTCAAATGGGAGACGTTCGACTCGTTGTAGTATGACTTGTTACATGATTTGTTTCCAGTATGGTATTTGGGTTATTTGAAGACAACTTGAAATGCCTTCTCTAAAATCATAATCTGACATGATTATGCAGGTTTTGTCTTTAGCCTAGTAGTTGTATGATTTAACGCTCTCATTTCAATCACTGTACCTACTATGATGATGCTGACAGACAAACATGTGCATCTAAAATGCTGATTTTCTACCATGTAGTTTGATTGATAAAATTTCGATTATTTGTAGTTCTTGAGGATGGACTGTAAAACTTATCAATTTTTATCGTACCTATCCGCAACTCATACATATATAGGCTACCTGCAAAAACTATTTATCAATTAGTTCTGGTTCTGGTCTGAGAAAAAAGGCATTGAGTGTCTTTTTACATATATGATGTAAAATAAAATCTCTGGTGACACGATATGCAATAAATGAAAAAAGTGACGACGAATAATACAACTCAATTCCCTATATACTATTTTATCACTTCTCCCGCCAGGCAGCCAAGCGTCGCAAAACGTTGCGTCTATAAACAACCGATGGAACGAATCTGGAAGAAAGTCATGATATTTTGATTCAAATTAAGGCCGCACTTTTTTATTTCTATGGATGACATCCTGCGCGCGCACCGATTTTCGTCCGTTCTCCGAAAAAAAAAATCACCCCCAACGCAGTCCGTTGTCGCAAACATCGTTATTGAATTTGCCGGAAAATGAGCTTTCTGCGCATGCGTATTATCGCCACTTGGAAATATGTCCGCTTTGCCGTCAAATTCATCTCTAGGATTACTTTCAAATTACAGGACAATTAAAGTCATAAAGAAAATGGGGGCCGTCGTTTTGGATTGGTATGCCATTGATATTGGGCATGGAGATATCACCTTTTTACAATTATACGAAAGGCTGGCGACGGCCAGCGATTATCGCCCGGAACATTTCAGTGACATTCTGTCCAAAGCAGCACATACCAGGTTTTTTTGTAGCGAAAAAAGGGTCGACAAGGGCGTCGAAGAATTTGGTGGGCTGAAGGTCGGACAGGCCACCCGACATTTTGGCTGCTTCGTGTGAGTCGAAGTATGCAAAATGGCACCGACCGAAATGACCTTTAATAGATTTGGTAGTATTAAGCATATCTTTGCATCATTTTATATATATAAGGCATGTGCGCATATATATATATATATATATATATATATATATATATATATATATATATATATATATATATATATGCACGTCCAGCGGTATATAAGGCATGTGCGTATATATATATATATATATATATATATATATATATATATATATATATATATATATATATATATATATATATATATATATATATATATGCACGTCCAGCGGTGGGTGATCATCTTTGAAAGTCTGTCAAAATATTCTTATGCGTTTGAGTACAATGGGGGTGATTTCATGTGAAAGGTGATAGATTTTTCTTGTTACAACAAAAAATTTTGTTAACAACTTTCTATCGTATAATATACCTGTGCATATCATCTTATTTTAGCGGGGAGGATACACTGCAAAGGAGTACCCAACAGTTTATTAGGAACCGGTACAGCGTGCATGAATTATTTGCCTTTGATATTATTCTCGATGGAAACATGAAACCGTGGGTTATGGAAGTTATGTATCACCTAGGTAAGTGGTATACACTTTAGGAAATAGTGAGCTACAGGTAGACTACTTTACTTATTACACCATTTCATAATGTCAAAGATGATCCAATGGCAGAGGAAATAACAGAACACCCTTTATATCGAATGTGCCTGCATATACCGGTATTACTTTCGTTTTGAGTTTATTTAGTAGCTGAGCAAAGTATACAGGTTGTAAATCATATGACCCAGCAACACGCAAAGTTCTGAAGCACGCGATAACATCATAACAGGGTTACTACTTAATATGGAATATTATTTTTTGGCGAGTAAATTTTCTACAAAATATTTATTTTCTCTCTAACTACTTTAAATCCCAAACTGAAGTGTCACTCCATGTGTAGCCTGGTGTGGTACCTAATTACCACACAACTCTCAAAACAATTAATGCATGCAGTTGCATGTTCTGTGGTCAGAAATGTGAGGGGTGGTCTTTTCGACAATTTCTGCCCTTGTATAAAACGCATGGGTTTGGCCAATCTTGTGAGTGTATTTAGAGAAGCTACGAAGGGATCGCTCTGAAACTTGACAGGTACCTTAGAGAAGATATGGTTCGATAGTTAAGCAACGCAGCTTTCTATGGGATTCTTGCTCTCAGAGAAAATGGCCAGAAACGGACAGCCATTGCCAGGCAATGCAACATTTATCAGGAACCGTTAGTAAATTAAGTCCTCCAAAGAAATGCTACAACAAAGGCACCTACTCCAATACCTCGACCAGGGTGTCCGCGTATCACACCAAGAAGACAGAATCGCCTTTTCCTTAGAGTGCGCCGTGCTGGTCGTACAAAAACAATCAGTGTCCTCAGAAAAGAGTGGCAGAATGTCATTCAAACGCCCGTTTCAAGGTCACTCGTGAACAAGAGATTACTGCAAGGCGGTTATTTTACACGAAAACCAGTAGGGAAACTACTGTTAACAGCAGGTCATATACAGCGACGTCTGCAATGGGATGGGGACCACGTGCGTTTGCAGCCAAAACACTGTTATGCAGTACGATGATTGTGTACTGCCTAGGGTGCAAGCAGGGGGTGGTAACGTCTCTGTTTGGGGAGCATTTCATGTCGGTGTCCAGAACCAGTTGGTTTGTCTGGGAGGCAACCTCAACCAGGGTTCCTACAGAGACATTCTACAGCAAACAATGCTTCGATTTGTAAGAGTCAACTTCAGGAACAACTTAGTGTACCAAGACGACTGCGCAACCCCACATCGAGCTCGCAGAATCACTGTTTTTCGTCGAAACCAATGGGTTCAGCAACTGCCCTGGGCCTGCAAACTCCCCAGATATGAACCCAATTGAAAATCTGTGGGCAGAAGTAACACACAGAATTAATAGCTATGGTCATCGGCCGGTAAATAGTGATAAACTGCGACAGACAAATATCAGTGCGTGGAATGATATTCCCATCCAAACTCTAAAAAAACTTGTCACAGGGTATGCCATGTAGGATGAGGGCGCTGCAAGCGGCTGTTGGAGGTAATACTCGCTATTGATGACTTTTCATGATTTGCTGTAATGTGTTCTCTGACTGTGTAACATATCACTGTCCGGAGGCTATCATTTTCTTTAATTCTTAGCTTAAAATTAATACTAACATCAAACTTTTGATATGGTTTTCTGGGGGTGTTCTTTTCTTTTGAATGATATCTTATGATGACTTTTCATGATTTGCTGTAATGTGTTCTCTGACTGTGTAACATATCACTGTCCGGAGGCTATCATTTTCTTTAATTCTTAGCTTAAAATTAATACTAACATCAAACTTTTGATATGGTTTTCTGGGGGTGTTCTTTTCTTTTGAATGATATCTTATGATGACTTTTCATGATTTGCTGTAATGTGTTCTCTGACTGTGTAACATATCACTGTCCGGAGGCTATCATTTTCTTTAATTCTTAGCTTAAAATTAATACTAACATCAAACTTTTGATATGGTTTTCTGGGGGTGTTCTTTTCTTTTGAATGATATCTTATGATGACTTTTCATGATTTGCTGTAATGTGTTCTCTGACTGTGTAACATATCACTGTCCGGAGGCTATCATTTTCTTTAATTCTTAGCTTAAAATTAATACTAACATCAAACTTTTGATATGGTTTTCTGGGGGTGTTCTTTTCTTTTGAATGATATCTTATGATGACTTTTCATGATTTGCTGTAATGTGTTCTCTGACTGTGTAACATATCACTGTCCGGAGGCTATCATTTTCTTTAATTCTTAGCTTAAAATTAATACTAACATCAAACTTTTGATATGGTTTTCTGGGGGTGTTCTTTTCTTTTGAATGATATCTTATGTCAGATTTGATATAATTGGCCAAAATATCTCACAATAGAAGACTGGATATTTTTCTCACTCAATGAAATACTTTTTTGATGAATCAAGCCAAAAAAATTTTAATCAGCACTCAAAAATAATAATGATAAAAATATTCCATATTAAGTAGTAACCCTGTATGTTTTGGCATTATGAAGATAATTTATGTAGAAACAACACTTTTATATGCCTGATATGTGTGTCATAATATTTTATACCCCGTCAGAGGTGTTTTTTTTCTTTCTTTCTTTTTTTTCTTTTTTTTTTTTGGGGGGGAGGGGGGTCAAATTAGGTGTACACTACTTTTTGTGTTGAGTCATAGCGTGTGGACACGCATAGGGGTGATTGCATGGGATAGGGGTCCTTCGCTGGTATGAGTTTGGGGGTCCACCCCCAAGACATTTTTGAAAAAATTATGTCTAAAATGCTTTAATTTATTGTCATTAAAATTAAAGATAGGTCCTCCAAAATGAAAGCTGGACCAGC